ACACACACACATGCCTCGTCAATATGCGTTTTGCTACCTACATAAATACGAAAAAACAAATAATTACATATATTTCAGCTCGCATATCACGTTCCTCACGTTTTATAATGAACAGGAGGAGGGAAATCCCCCTTCTAAATAAAAAAATTGCAGATAAAAAAATTAGGAATCGTAATTTATGGGAAACTTCGGAAAACAGATCAACATTAGCAAAATCGCCGGTTTAATCGATGTAAGCCAGAAAAACTCGGAAAACATATCAAGTTTTTTAAACAAGCCAGGAAAATCAGTTAATGGAAATAAATGTTAAAATGTGCTCGTGAATTTCTTTTTTTGCGCTATCTCAAGATGACTTGTTTCTCCATGCACACCTACATATTTCCGGAGGAATCACATTCTTGCTGGCTAACGTTAGTCATTCACCTACTTTCGAGTATTTTTTGCATTTTTGACTCACTCTTTGTCAAATGCGAAGAATCCGAGGCCGCTCGAACAGTCATTGTGGGACCCCACGTCTGTGACGTCACTAGGACGCTTCCGCGCGTCGGGCGCAGCTTAGCCATCTATTCGCCGAATACGTACTTTTAATCAAATAACTGTTTTACGTATTTCAGATGCTTCAAATAATTCGAAGTATTTTAAACAAAATGAATGATACTGAAAAATGACGCAAAATGAGCATGTACTTAGGCAAAACCTGTAGCGGCTTGCCTGTGGAAACATATAATTTTCGCACAGTTTTCCTCACAGCTGCTTGTTGCTATGTAGCACTGTTTCTCCGGACAGATGATAATAGTTAAATGAATAGAAGTATGCATCAAATCAGTGAATACAAAATGTCAAGAGGTTGTGGATGTGTGTCCTTGGGTGTGTGTCTCCGGATTTTTGTCATCCACATCAATTCAGCAATCGCCGAAGCTGTAGGAAGCTAAAACTTTGCAAGTATAGTTTCGGTCCAAGTGCTATCTAATCAAATTAAAATTAACTCTTTCGCACGCCTGAGTCTCATACACGGGCATCTAAAAGAAAAGACATAAATTTTTTGGCAGAGAGATGAGGACCATTTATTTAGTTAGCGACTTTTTTGCTTCAAGTAGACTGAAAAAACACTCCGGCACCTGATAGACCGCGAATAGATGGTGAGATTCCGTATTTTACATGTATTTCGAAATATGTGTAAAATAGCAGTCACTTCAAGTTACGCTTGTTGAGTACCACCATTTTGTCTCAAACTCTGCCACTTTAGAACCAGGATGAGGTTAGTACCGCGCCAACTAGGCACTTTGCTTTCGAAACCAGAAGTAACTTCCCCTTTCTGATTGTCCGGGTGGTTCTGGTATTCTTGGTATAAATAAGGCTTGAGAAGCTCAAGCTTATCGTCTTAGCGATCTTGGTATTTATAGTGTATGTGCAAAGCGTAAAGCACTTAAATTGATTGTTCGTGTGGATTCTGGTAGCCACACTGACTGTTGTCCTGATATTGACCATGTGGCTTAGAATGCAAAATAACATGCAGATACGCAGGATTTGCTGTCGCACGCAACGCATTTCCATTAATTTCTTGGTGCCAGAAGTGGGATTTTTTACGTTTTTTATAGGTTTTTTTTTCAGCTATGCAATGCAGAAAACGCATATTGGCGAGGGGTTGTCTGTGTTTCCGTGTGTCTGTGTGTTTGTGTTTACGTCTGCCATTACTATTTCATCAAATTGATTAT